AAAGGCTTTAGGCAAATAAAATAACCTCTTCATGTGAACATTTACCACTGCACTCCTGAAACCTTAACAGTGGCTAGAAGTCCACAGATTGCCACACACAGGTAAGTACCATCTATGCTACACATAATTAAAGGAAATCTGACCCATACATTTTTTGCATGAGTATCACAACATTAATACTATTGGTACTAAATTAGTGTCTGTAAATTTTGACATTTTCCATCATGGAGCAGAATTTTGTTTTTATTTCTTTTAGTTCATCTGAAATTGAAGTTATTATTCCATTTAAATGTTACAGGACCTGACAAGTTCAGATCAAATTTACCCAGTAGAAGAAAGTAAGGAAGCTATTTACACTAGACTTGGCGAAGGTTCATGAAGTTTGCATATCGAACAAAGTGTACCTGAGTTTCTGTTAGGCATATGAAAAATGACTGTCTTGGTGTCCCTGACTTCCCATTGTGAGGATTATAGTATGTGTACAGGCAATATAAATTACTTTTATTGGCTTTTTTGGTTTTTTGGTCAGTTAAGCTGATGCATTCTACTCTTCCACAAATTTTGATTAATGCAAAGACTGCAAAGGTAAGTATGACCTTTCCATTCCCTTCTTTCTTCCTTTTCATAAGAGACTCTTTTCTCTGTTAGCAAACTCTCGAAGTACCTACCCTTTGCTTGCAGTTGTCTGGTGGTGTCTCCCAGATGGCAATTGTTTAGAACATCTTGTCTGGCTCCTGCTCTTTGCTGCTACCTTACTGCATATGTATGCGGAAAGGGTAGAAATAACTTAAAGCAGAACAATTTTTCAAGTATGTTTTCACAAACTCAAATAAAATCCCTAATTTTTTCTTCTAACTCTTTCAAGCAAGTATTATGTGTTATCAAGGTCATTATTAGTATGGGAACTGCCGGAGAGAGATTTTACTACAAAGCAAAGGAGGGAAAACTGAAGAAACATAAACAGATGATGTGCTACTGAGTCCTCCCTTCTTATTGCACTGTATCAGTTAACACAGTTTACATGGCTGATGGTGGGCATCTAGTTACAAACTAGTTACACCAGTTAAGTGAAAAGACTATTGGCAAGAACTGAAGTTGAAAAACACACAAGGCTGTCTATGTCAAGGTAAAGTCTTGTTTTATAACTTTTAAAATTAGATTTAGTCATAGATATTTTTGACTTCAGTGTAATTCTTGATCTCCAAGAGCTGTAGCAAACTACTTCAAGAAATTGCCTAAATGATCTGGAGCAAGGCAGTCTGGATCCAAAGGTTGTGCATTCTGGAGCTGGCTGTAGTACTGTGACTCTGCTAGAGCAACTATCCAATAATGAAGTGCCTCCAGCCAAATCCTACTGGCTTTGCAGCTATGAGCAAATTAAATAGGCAACACTCAGGAGTAAAGGTACTGTAAAGAAACACAAGGACAATGACTAAACCTATTATCTACTCTTAAAGATGCTTTCTGAGACACCTGGATAGAAATTATTCTTGGGCTGACTTTACGATAAAATACATGCTTGTGAATAACATACATTTCATTATGAAAAGACTCAAAAACTGGTATTGTTCTTTCTCCTTTGGGAGACAACAGCATGATTTACTATTAGCACGCTGAAAGCTAGGGAATAGAGAAATCAAGGGTTTGCCCAAAGGATGTCAAAGAAATCAGTGCAAGAACCAAGTACAGAATTAGTCTCTTGGCAGTTTGAACTGATACCTTTAAATCAGCTCATTTACCCTTTTTGTTTCTCACTAAGGATGAAAAACACTTCAGTCTCTGGTCTGGTCAGTCTGCTACATTTCACGTCATTAATTACCACTTCAAAAAATAAAAACACAGTGTAGAAAAACAGAGTAGATTTTCCACATTAAGAGTAATTGGTACCATCAGTGAAGAGTCAGCACTTACTCTGTAATGGTCAGTTCAACAAACACATATCTAAATGCCAAGCCACAAGCCCTTAAACTCAGTTAATTGCTTCTTTTCAGGTTGAGATCATGCTTATATATTTATGACTGAATTAAACTTCCACATTAAAAATAACTTAGACAATTTCTGTTAACTCAAAATTTTACAGATGAGTTGCAGGTTGAACACAAATATTTTTAAGTACATATTGAAAAGCAAACAATATAACAGCAACAGTAGATTGCCTTGTGTCCAGCTATTTTGGGCACAAGCTCTACTCTGCTCCATGGAAATAACTTCAAGTCTGGTATACTTTAGCAGAATCCACCTATCATCTCCACTTTATTTTCTTGATGGAGATTTACTGCAGCAAGCCAAACTCTTACAAATCTTCCTCTGAAAATTACTTTCCATTTATTAAAAATTTGCAGGGATTTATTGAGTGGTAGTTTACAAGTTCCAACTTCTAACCATTTTTTACTGGAAATTGCTGTCTCCAGATGAAAGCTTTATAGTGAAAGCAAATGTTGCTGTCAGACCTTCTTCTGCTTTATGTTTTCCCACTATCCATAAAGCAGACTACTTCATTCCCACTTAAATGGTATTGGAGTTGTATTCCCTGAGCAAAACAGAGGAAAAACCTGCACTACAAAATATGACTTTTTTTTTTTTTTTTTAATCATGTATGGTAGTGTCAATAATGTCACTTCCTTCTTACTAGTTCTGTGTTTTATTAAAGAACAAGTTGACTGAAGGAGTCAGGTGTTTTCATCCTGGAGAACAGAAGGCTCGGGGTGGGACCTGACTGAAGTTTTCCAGTACTTAAAGATGGAGATTCTCTTCACAAGGATTCACACTGAGAGGATAAGGGGCAGTGGATAAGGCAGAGGATAAGACACAGAAAGTGGTTTCATCTTGGTATAAGAAAGAATTTTTGTGCAGTGAGAACAATCAACCTCCACAGGGATGTGGTGGACTCCCCATCACTGGAGGTGTCCAAGATGAGCCTGGACAGAATGCTAGATAATCTCATTCAGGCTCACTTTCCCATGAAAGTTTGGACCACATGATCTTTTGAGGTCCCTTCAAACCTGGGCTGTTCTGTGATTCTGTGAATCTGTCTACTTACCCCTTAAATGACAATTTGCATGCCTTCCTTGCATGAGTAGTTCACAGCACTGGTAGATGAGGTATGCAAATGATCCTTATATTTTTCTGGGCAGACTAGAATATACTCTTAAAATATATGATCCAAGGTCTACTTTATCTTGTTCTTACAGGTATAGGGCTGATATCAGAATCAGATGGAGATGATAACTTTCAGTGCAAACTGAGGTATTATTTATTTCTGCATCCCAAAACTTCTTAGCTTCACAAGGGCTATGTAATGGAACCTTACAGGGCAGTTTTAAAAGAGAGACAAGTAAGATCCTGACACATTGGTTAAAAGCGGACAGAAGATACTGGAAACCCAAATTATGGTGACAACAGATCACAGAAATTAAGGGCTTTTCCACAGGAAATTCTACATTGTGTTCTCTAGAACTGGAACAAAAAGCCACATGCCTAAAGGTTTTACAAAACAGAACATTTTCAGAAGTTTTGTCACGTGAATGGTTCTTGCTCACCATCTGTCAGGTTCTCTGCTATCTGGTAATTCTGAGCATTACCCAAAGAAAGCATTTAGGGCTATTTGCTTCCTGAAGATTTGCATTCGGCCAGCTCCAGATAGCTGACTTTGGACTAGGACCAATACACATAAGACATTTTTGTCATTATGGATAGTGTTTTTCCATCCATACAATCTTGGAGGACAAAACCTAGCTTAAGTTAAATTATTGTGGTGTTCTGGTTACATATGTTAGTAGTTTGTGTGTTTGTTAAATTTTAATTGGATATGAACATAAGGAACCAGAGGACCAGGTTTTGTTTAGTATAAGGTTTTTTTCTCTTCCCTATTTTGCAACAGCCAGGTAATCCGAATGACAGCCTATCCCAATACTGTAGGTCTGGTTTGACAAATAAATGTTAAAGCTTCTGTATCAAATAAACACAGAACAGCAATCTTTCAAACTCAGATACAGATAGGTGAGTGTTTTGTAGCTGGCAACTGAGAAATACAGTAGCACACTTAGGTCTCTGGAAACCTTCACTTCATCTTCAGGAAGCAAACATGACACTGTTTAAAGTTACATAAAATTAGAAATATTTGGTGATTGTCACATAACAAATCAAAAGGTTGTGAACTTGTAAATATCACATTATGTATTGATTGTGACTTGAGGAATGAGGAGCTATTTTAAACATGTTGATTTGCCTTTTGCTGGAATTCGACAATGATCATACTTTGATTTCTAATATGACAGAAAAATACATTTTTAAAATCAAATAAAATAAAAAACAACAAACAAACCCCAAACTAAAACAGAAATTCTATTTCCAAAACTCTGATCAGGTAATAAGATTCTTGTAGATCAGGGGAATAAATATCAGATATACACAAAACTGTGTATATCTGTATTTCCTGCTGGTCACACAGGAAATCTGTGGCAGAGTTTGAAACCAAAGCTTTATTTCCACATCCCAACCCAGCTGATCAAGCAACGAACTGTTCTTCCTCACCACTTATATTTCCATTTCACTTTCCATTTAAGACGCCATAAAAGTGTCCAAATTTAAGATTAGCATTCAGTAACAACACAAGAATATATTTTATTAATTCCATCTATTTTTTATATATTGGAAAATTCTGTAAGAAAACACCATGTGTTTAATGAACTATTTAGCATAACACTGAGTAAATTATCATAGACTTGAATGCATTTTCTACTAAGCAAAGTAACTATTCTTTTCATTCTTGTCCACCATATTTCTTCCTGGCACCTCCTCCAATACAATGGATAATCAAAACCCTCAGATCCTTAGAAAAGGTTTCTTAGGTTTCATGATGTCTGGATGTCTGTTTTGCTACTGAAATTATACTGGTCAAAGGCTGCCTGGCCACTCCCACTGCAACGGAAAGCAAAGGCAGGACCAATAATTTAAAAAAACAAATTAGAATTTACAGACGTGAAAACAAAACAAATTACCTGGGTCTTCTATAGATAAGTTCTTCGTTAACCATTGAACAATGTCTGAACCTAGAAACAAAACAACAGGTATTTTTATATTAGTAAGTTTTCTCTTCCTATTCTTCATCCTGAGGCAATTCATATTGTTCTTCCATGGAAGTGATGTACACTTTTTGTTCAGATTGGCTAGAAAAAAATCCTGTGACAGTTTTATTTTATTTTAGCTTCTATTTTTTAGCTTTGCTTTAGCAGAGAAACATAGCATTCATTCTTTCTTTAGGTTAACATTTAGAAAAAGTAATAAAAGTGCACTAAGTGTATAACAATAGTCTGCATTTTAAAAATTACATTGCTGCAAAATTTAGACAGCAAAACAAACCCTTTATAAAGCTAATATTAAGTTTTTCACCCCTTAAAAATGAGTTATCAGTAAAAGCATATTCAGTTACCCATACATGTACTACCAATGTATCAAACTCCACCTCATGGCTAAGCTCTTGGCAGAATTCATTTTTCCCTTCGTGCTTAAGCTCTTTCCTTACTAATCCTGTCTCTCTTCTTCCATATCCCTTCATTTACTGCCTATCCATTTCTTTCTATCTAATTTCCTGTCTTGTTTTTAGGTCCAATGCTGTTGCTTACTTCTTAACACCTTTCATACCAAATTTCTTGCTGCTTTTTGCACTGAGTACCCTTCAAAGCTCACCTCCTAATACCTAACCCATATGCTCCTCTTGGGCATGCACTTCTATTACACTTCACACTTTATGTCACAAGCCTTGTTTTTCAGATTGAAAGCTACAGTTGAACTTCACCCATGGAGAACACGAATTACAATATAAATTATGAAGCAGTGCTGCAGATGAAAAAAAACCCCTACATTCACGATTTAACAACTTTAAACAACAAAATTGTCTTAAAGGGAAAATGTAGTGAAACACTGGCAGGATGTTACGTGCATGTTTTTTGTGTTTCATGATGGCTCCAGTTCAGACAAGCAGTGTAATAGAGAGAGATGTCATGTAATATTTCCTTATAGAATCAATATTTATGATGCTCAGCCATTTCCCAGCAAACCTAATAATGAAATTCTTCTATAAACCTTAAATTTAAAACAATCATAAAAATCTACAAAACTTCCACAAATATAAACTAAATCAAAACAATAAAATCTCTTGAATGTACAGTAATACATAACATTAGAATATGGAATGGATTTCCCGTCTCTCCCTAGATTCAAATTTCTTTCTGTACTTTGCATAGTGCATTTCCTTTGGTTTTCCTACGGCAATGAAAATGATACTTTAAAAAGGCATTTCAGAGAAGAAAGGAAATTTACTTCTCCTTGCTTTCTTAATTTTAAAGAATATAGTTCTGTAGCTTTTTTTTTTTATTACACATAGTGAATAGCTTCATCATGTATTTTACAAAGCCTTGTTGATAATATCATAACTGTGTGTGTATGCATTACTAAATTGATTACATAGCAGTGAAAATCTGTGTAGATTTTACAAGCATCTCCAGAGCAGACATTTTCATTATTATGTTACATGTCTAAATTTTGATAGTTATTAAACTCCAGTGGCACCATTTCTCATAGCATTTACATGGCTTTATTCCTTAAATGAGGCAATTTACATTTGCATGCTGTTGGAGGAGTACAAAATGTTTCAGACAGATATTCCTACCTCAAAATACTCTATTTTCATTCTATTTTTATGTATTTTTATAAATACAATTTCAGTCCCTTATTTATACATATGAACTTTGCAAGGCCAATGCTGAAGGAAGAATTTTAGCTTAGTGTAAGACAAAACTTAATGATGCAGTTCCAAGCAAAGCTATATTTTTATGTCAGCTGACTAGATAAGTCAGTAAGCCCTAAATATTTTCCTAAATCTTCAAAGATCAGAGAAAAAAATTTGAAAAACATTATGACACTTCTGAATACTGATTCTTAACTTTGTCTTCCTTCAAATCTCTGAGGTAGCGTATAGGAAGAAATTTCCTATTATATTTATCTCACCTTCAAATACTTCTTTCCTTTTTGCTTCTTTTGAAAACTCTCCTACAGTGACATGCCATATTCCTCAGTCCTCAGCTCCTGGTATCACATTTGCGTACATGGTCTACACATCAGAAATTTCGCCTCCATATGTTGCACTGTCTTTTGGCTATTACAACTAATAGCGGGAAGTGGGGTTTCATAACAACTGCACCACCTGATTCTGAAAGTTCATTGCTGCTCTATTCACATTTTACACTGAAGCCACTTCCTTGGCACTTGAAAGCCTGAACAGCACCTTAAGTCAGCTATTTTATTCAAATGCTGATGATTTCAGATGCATGACTTTAATGACGAAAGCCCAGACGAATAAGCATCAACATGAACACTCTCCTTTTAGTGTGAAGGTTCTTCCAGTAAAACAAAGTTGAAAGTAATTGGTCATATCACAAGGGAAAAATTTATCAGTTCATATTTCTTTGGGAGATCTTTGGGCCAAAACTAGTCCTAAAAGAATAATAAAGGTATTATCTTGTAAAGCTTGCTGGGTGTTCTTTTAGCTACCACTTTTAATGTCTAATCAACAAGATGGTTTCATTCAATCATTCCTGTGCCCTTTTCTAAGATTTATTACTTATGCAAATGTGTTTCTAAAAGCAAAACTATTATTCTATTTTCTTATCTTAGGGGAAGAAAAGCAAGGCATCAATACAGGTGAAAACAAGAAAACAATATTTCCCATGAGTTCTAGCTTTGAAAAACCTGGTGATCAGTAAATTCATGTCATTTTTCATATACCACACTTCACATCTATAGGAATTATGATTCAAGACTATAAACTTCATTATTTGTAAAAAAGAACTAATACTTATAGGATGAAAAATCTTTAACTTTCAAACCTGAATCTATCTTATTGCCAGGAATCCATCAAAAAGACAATCTCATCAGATGATATAAATTTCATGGAGCCACTACCTTGGTATTGGACTCTTCTGGAAAGGAAAACTTCAGCAATCCAAACTAGAAAATGGTGGCTGTGTCAGATATTCAGTTTTTTATACTGTTTAATGTGTGACAACAAAGCCCCAGTAATAATATTTTCAATGCAGATTCTCAAGGTAAGTTCTCCAGGTTTCCCTGCCTCACTTCCAATAAGAAGCTAAAAGGCAAGATGGCTATTAAAACTGTAGGGTGCAGAAGTCAAATTGCCAACTGAATTTTGAAATCCCAGAAGAACCTTCAATTTTCATACCAATTTTTAATTCAAATAGCACTGGACAAGGCAAAGTGATAACTTGTAATAATAAATTAAAGCTAGCACAAGCATAAAACCTTCAAAAATGGGGTTTTTTTAGACACAGAGCCTGAAAGCCAACAGCGAGACTCCTTAAATGTCAGCACCTACCCAGTAAAATTCACAAGATCTTACTCAAGTTCAAAAATAAAACAGACTTGCAACTCCTTTAAAGAAATAGGCAAAAGTATGTCTACGTTCATACACAAACAAATAAAACTCAAGCATGTCCTTTGTGAAATGTACTTGCTGAAAACTCCACAAGTGATTAATTTTAAATGAAATGGTCCAAACCAGCAGTTCCTGAAGCCATCACAGTATCTTAAGAAAATATTTTTGAGGAAAGCATGTTCTATGAACTCTGCAATGTTAATTTCTAAGTCAAACCCGAAAAGGCCAGGGCAACGCTCAAGTTAGCTTTCAAGAACAAACACCTTATTTTAAACAAGTCCTTATAAAGTACGTTTCCAAAAGGTGTGGGTTCTGATCTATAGAAAATATCATGGGAATTATAGATCCAATTTTTGCTATGTATAGATGTATGAGCCATGACCAAAAAAAAAAATAAAAAAAGATGTAATGGTACTACTGCAAAAGAAAAGCAAAATTTGAAATGCCCTATCTTTTTCAAAATTCAAAAACATATTTAGCTGACGAAGACACAGTTGCAAGAAAGTATATTTTATTAATCAGAATCACAAACCAGGAGACCACTGAGAAATTTAACCCAATGATTTCTTACTTCATAGACAGGTTCAACCTTGCAAAAAAATAGTCTGTTACTGTTAATGTCTTGTTTTAGTAACTAAAACATATTCTTCTTTTTACTTTTAGACCTCAGAATATTTACAGATGATGAAGAGAGAAAGTGACACAGTAAACTCCTCTGTGTTACTGATACCACGAGAGAGGATTTTGCTGTTGAAAATCAAGACTTTTGCCATCTGAGCTCTCAAGAGCAAAAGAAGCCATTGTGATGTTTGCCCTGCACTGTGGAAACTGGGCAGCTGGGTATGTTGGGTGCATGCTTGTTCCCTGAAAAGCAGCAGTGGATCATCTGAGAGCTCCCTTGGGGGAGCCTCTTGCTTGGCTGGCTCACCTTCAGCCCTTCACCACCACCTGGCCTGGAGAATCTGGAGAACTTTTTGCAGGGCAGCTCACGGTATGGAAAACTTAATAACATTACTCTAGAAATTATCAGTGTCTAAATTTAAGACAGCAAGACTATTAGTTTTAAATTACTAAGAAAATAGTACTGCATTTCCCCTGTTTCTCCTTTCTTTCATATACTGGAAGAGGAGGGAATTGTGTCATTTTAACCCCAGTCTTCAACGCCACCGCTTTGTCACATTACTTCATGGTGATACATCAGGAAATTAAGTTTAGTCTCTGACACACACTTCAAAATCCTTGGTCATGACTGAAAAAAATTATAATGTGCAATTTAATTTCTCACCACTGATTCAGATATTGGAAACACATAAACTGGATCAGATGAGCAGGGTGATTGTAAAGGCCAGTGGCCTATTAGGTTCTCATCACTAGCTGGTTTTGCACAAAAATTTTTCTCTAAATGAAAGTAGGACTCTTTGAGAAAGGGCTTTCACTGGTGAATGGGACAAGATGATCTGCATTCTCCTTGAAGTTTTCATGATAAACCATAGCATATATTGCCACTGTCATATCAGCATGGACATTTTACAATTTCTTTTCTTTCTCTCAGAAGCACAATTTGTGCATGAATTCTGCATGCATGTATCTGCCACTTGC